ATGGACGCGATGCTATTGATTGTTGCGTTACTTGTAGTTAAAAGTTTGAGGAAGACGTACGTGTCTCGGTTTCATCAATAACTTGTTTTGTTATTGAATAACGGGTCTAGAAATGGAGCATGCACAGGTCTCTAGTACTGTGAGGTTAAGGATCACAAATCGCATAATCAGATTAAAATGTTACGGTGTGAAAACCCGACTGATATCCAGAAAACTGAGTGCATTGTGTGGTGAGCTTACCGTTGTCTGTAGCACATTTTTCCATCGGGATAGTGGATTTCGTGAAGGCCATATTAGAAAAACGACGACGCAAAACCGAGAAGGCCAAGAACACCGACTGATAAACAAAGTGTGATATTTGTGGCAGATGTTATTGAAAAAGATCGCCGTGCGACTTTTGAAAAAATCTCTGAAGCCACAGGAATTTCAATAATTCCATAATAAGTCCATATTTCGAATAATGTTAAAGGAGTAATACTGAAAGTGCACAAAGCCCGACCTCTTTTACTCGATCACTCCGGGTCACTCATTCTCCACGACAATGCTCGCCCACACACGCCAAAGTCGGAGCCGAAAAGTTCAATGAATGTGGTTGGAGGAAGTGTTACATCATCACCCTACAGTCCAGACATGACTCTACCAGAATTTGACTAATTCACAAAAATGAAAACCTCTACGAGGACACCGTTTTTATCCCTTGATGGAATTCTGAAGCTTCCTCGACGTTGGGACTCGGTAAATGTGAAGAACGGAGGCTACACTGAAGGACTCGAAAGAGATTTTCTCAAAGAATTAAAAAATAAACGTGTGAGAAAATGTAAAACACTGAATTATTTATGAAATAACCCACGTACAATTATGAATTATATATTTACATATTAGATTATGTAAATACGAATGACGTAAATTAGATTATGTAAATACGAAAAAAAGAATGACGTAGGCTAAACTCCATTCATATTTCGAAACATATTTATTAGTTTTAATTATTATCAGAACATTTCGTTAGCTTGAAAGGTTCGTGACAAGTTAAAATTAATAGTTACTGGAAGTAATTGAGAGAGGGAGATCCCTCCCCCTGGATCCTCGCCTGACATCAACGACGCGCTGCTCGAGGTACAGACGCCCTCCCAGATTCCCGAGTGTCTCACGACGCAGTTATAGCTTTTAGACGATAGTTAACGAGTAGGATTGTAAAACAAACCACAAATCTGTTAATTTTTTATGATCCTCTAAGAAAATTTAATAGTAGACGAACAATTCTGCTTGGGCTAAAGGAAGATTTAGTTTTAGACACTTTTAGCTTTAGAAAAAAATAAACATTTCAATATTCTAAATAAAAAAGAGTACAAAAAGCTTGCAAATGGATCACATAACTAGAAAATGCAAGAAGTTATTTTGAATAATACCAAGAAAAATATCACAATAGTATCACACTTATCAAGTGCCATTTATTAAAGGTAAGTCACTTTTTCAATCCAATTATTTTGCCAATATATAATATTCTTTCCAAGTGATGATGCGTTCATGTAATTTCATATTATATCCAATAACGAACACCCTACATATCGTATATTGGGCTTGTAGTTGAGGCAAACACCGCCCTCAGTGGCTAGCGTGTGGCTACCGTGTGGCTAGGGTGTGGCTAGCTTGGTGGCTCGTTGGTTACGTACTCGCTTTCCACGGCGCAACCCCGAGTTGGATTCCGGGCCGGAGCAAAATTATAACTGTGTGCTTTCCTTACTAATGACCCAGTATCTATTGCTGTATGACGAAAAAAACCACTCTAAGGTTATGAGAACCAGTATATACGGTGGAGAGATGTCTTTGTGCCAACCCCTTACCACACGAACCCCTTATCGAGAGGCTGTGCCACCACTGGTCGAGCAAGGATCGTATCGAGCTGTCGGCCAAAGGGCAAGCTCTTCTTAGTTTGCATTGTGAGGCGAGGGGGAAACCTTTGACCGACTGACAGACCGACAACGAGGTGACAACCAATTACTTATAAGGAAGGCTCAATTGATGCCACGGTTCTATACTGTTTATCAAACGCGTCCCAAGAGCATCAACTGTCACCGACACCGAAGGCGTGGCGACACCTCCTTGAACAACGCGAGGGAAGCTGCCTTGGGTCAAATAGGAGTACAGTTGTCAATTGAAATTTTAGCGCATGAGGAGGGAAAGGTTTTTTTTCATTTTTTCGCAGCTATACGTAGTTCATGCGAAGAGGTCCAAGTGAGCCGAAACCGGGTGACAAGCGGTAAATGGCGATGGGTACAGGTCGTGTACTGCACGCGTGCTGCCGGGCGGGGCTGCACAAACGCGTAAGTTGTCGAAAACGAGGATGAGAAAGAGAGGTGAGAGAGAAAGGGTGAAACTGAGAGATGAAAAAAGGCAGGAAAATAAAGACAATGAAGGGGTTCATTGGTAAAAATGGGTATCTATTGATAGGAAAAAGACGAAAAAGACGAATATGTGACGGGAATGGTCTGGGACACATGAATAAAAACACTACGCATGCTAGCAAATATAGTTGCGTAACTGAAAGCTTGAAAATTGAGAAGATTCGACTCCCAACGATAGCGAATTTTCGACACAGGCTATTTAAGAAGTGCTACGATGCGGGGTGCAATTTGGCAATTTTCTTTAGAGGTGGACGTGACAAACACTTCACAAATTCCAGTAGGAATTTAATCCGTTATAACGCATCAAACTAGCGGGTACTCGCGTGCTTCGTGTACATAGATAACAACATAGCCACATAGAGATGTGAATGCGAAATAGCCCACAACAGAGAGATTCGGGACAGACGTCGAGTACGAGGCGAGACGGACGAGACAGGACGGGCGGGATCGGACGGACGAGCGGGACGGGACGGGACGCAGCGGGACGGGGCGGGGCGTGAAGGCGGAACGGAACTGTGCTGGGAGGGGCGATGAGGGGCGGCCCGTGGAGAGTGCGGAAGAAGTGCTGGGGCCGGGCAGAAGCATGCAATGATGTTCCACGTCGGAAGGTTGTACGCGTGAGAGAGCCTTAGTAGGTCGAGGAGGGCATGGTCATAGGACTGGGACCTATGTGGCGGGAGGCTCCTGAGGAATGGGGCGCAGGCGGGCAGGGGTGGTGGGTGTAAGGAATGGGGAGAGGTCGCCCGAGTTTGGCGCCGCCCAGCGAACCGCCGCGGTGCGCCGCCACGTGCCCAGCGACTGAATTTGGCCGCTTCATTAGTGAGCTGTCGGGCGCCGCTCTGACACCCAACTTAATGCAAGGAGAAGGGTGTGGCCGTGATGCAACGAGCTGAAGTGCTCCAGAGGAAGCCTAAAAGCGGACAATCAAATTTGTCACCACCAACCAAGCCAAGATGCCGGGCGCGCGAGTTATTCTGTTCGCGATTGCGAATAGATCACTATTGTACTGAAGGTTTATACCTTTTCATTTTTCAACGTATCTATACGTAGTAAAGAGGAAGATAATAGGATTCAGTTCAAAAATTCCAAATCGATATTTCCCTGGTAAATGTTTGTAGGGTGTCTGGCACGAAGATAAGTTTACCACACTTTTATTTGTATGGATGTATCTGCCACGCGTAACTCTTAATAGATTAGAAGTTTCTTGGCTCACAATTTAGCCCACACGTCAGGAGAAAGGTGTATTGGTGTCATTTAAAAAACACATTTAAGATTGTTTTGATTTTCGGTGGTATTTCGTATCAAGCCTGTGCACATTTGAAGAACTTTATTATGAAAAAGAAAGTTTAAAGACATATTTTCCTTTGTCAACGTCATATCTTACAACTATGCAGATGTAGATAATGGAATGAATCGTCAATAGATCATGGAATAAATTACAGGTTCATTGATGCCTTCGACATCGTCAATAGAATTAAAAGTGTTTTCATATATATCAACTTCACATTTTTACTGTTACGACCATTATATGGCAAAAAAACGGTATCGAGATTTCAATGGGTATACAGGTTTTCAGTTCCCCTGATATCAAAATAATAGTTTATGTAAGACATCAGTCCTTACCTCTGTCCGACCGTCTGTGAAAAACGCAGGCGCCTGAATTATTCCTAGAACTTTGGACAAAATGAATATTCTGCAATAGATAATGCCTCACCCGAGACTGCGATTTTGAAATGAATTCTTTAAATGTTTGGTGAGCAATATTTGGAACCTCTGGAACATTTTCTCAAGAGTTCCTTCAATTATTTGAAATTTCTTCTAAAAGTAGGGTAAAACATCGTCAAAGAACCGATTTTTACTGTTCCCCTTGAAACATTAAATATAAAATTACAAAAGTTGAAAATGTTTTGAACCTCCTAGTACAGCTATGTAGTATGTTGTTGATGGCGATTTTTTTTTTCAATATTGAAATTTGTAAGAATGTAATTGAATATAACAATACAATATAATTGAATATAATGTAATGCTATTATACAACAATTTAATAATTAGTTAAAATTGAAAATAATTACTAATTTAATAAATTAAAACATTTTAAACAGTTAATGTGACGAAGATTTACAACTACATTGTCGTTGAAATCGTTTGACAATAAGGAATGCATACTTTGTTTAATGCAATGTTGCGTGTTACTTGTGAGTGTGTGTTTGATATTTGTTGAAACCTTCATATCAGAATACTCAATATCAATTACAGATCTGAACATCAGTAATATTTTACATTTTAGATTTGTTTTCAGCCAGTTTACAACAATCAATTAATCTCTTTTGTCTCATCACTGACATTTGTTTAATGTTTTTAGTAATCCATTTATATGGAAGTGCTTGTCAAACACAGAAGAGGAAATGTAATTAAACCACTTCCATGGTATTCAATATATTCTCTGAGATCTGAAACCAATAGTTACATTGAGTGTTTTTCTCAGTTCAAGCGATCCTGACATTATTTTGTTACGTAAGAAAGAAGATACACATTTTATCGACGAAGATGCGTTATGTTGGAGTGTAAAAATGATAATGGTGAAGCACACTAACATACAAATGTTTCATTAATCGACCGGACAGATTCGTACCGCAAATATTAGGGAAAATGAATCGGAACCTCCTTCCCCATCGGGATCATGCAATAACGTGTCGTTGAACGCGATAAGCGCCTGGGCAGCCAAGTTTCCCCCCACTCCCTGGCTATCGTGTGGCAACGTACGACGATGACAGCCAGGTGACAGGTGGCAATTGCTTCACGTTCCCTCGAACCGACAAGGACAATGGCGCAAAGCGAAAACAACGGCGAGCCGCAAGGTAGCAAGGGCGACGCAGCTAAACAAGCGGTGAGTGGCAGAGGCAGCATTTCGACGCCGAGAGGCAGCGTCTCGCCCAAAGTAACCAGCGTGTCGACCCCGGCTCTCCTAGGCGAATCTCCGTTTTGGGTTGAGCGAATGCACGCTCTGCTCTACGTAGATATCTTGGGTTCCGAAGTGCGTCGCCTACGGCACACCGATAAGCATGGAGAAAGCATTGTGAAGTTCGGTGAGTATTAAACGGACTGGTTACATTGTTTCAATAAATTGTATGAACAGCGAAGATGAATTTATATGAGCCATTACTGTTAAAATGACGAGTGTCATTAGAAAAATACGCAAGGCAACTTCCACACTAGTAATACATTCTGAATTCGATGTTCTGCAATATATTGCAAAATTGAAGAGTATTTCCACAGTGACTATCTTCATTGCCGTTTGTTTTCTAGTTTCACATTTCAACATAAACACTCTACTTCGTTATAGTGCCAAATATTGTGTTCAAAAGTGACTTTTCTCGTATGTCGAAACTGTATGCGAATTTTCAATTTTAATACTTTCACTTCTTGAGAAAAAATCATTTCCCTCAGATAATTCACTTTGGAAATAAGCTCCACATTTATGAAACCAAATGACATAGTGCTGGGTAGTAAGATTGTTTCATCTTGTGCATTGTATATCTTCATGTTTCGGTAATTGATATAAAAATTGTTAGAGTACAGCATTGTGAGTACCTGCAATCCATTAGCTATTAACTCAACATCTCGAAAAAATAAGAAATTGTATTAAAGTTTTACTTTTACAGCTGAAACTAATGTTATTACGCTCTTCAGCTTGGAATTTGCTTCAATGCCGGTTGATGACGCTCTTTCACTTTTGGAAAATTCCTTTACTTCTTTTTGAAGTTCCAGACAAGGTTCAGTTTTTCAATTATTTATTCATTTCAGATGGTTAAAGTACTTATTACACTGTCAAAATCTTTACTAAGACGTTTCGGGAAATATTTGTTTCCATCTTCAAGTAAATTGCGAATTCAGATAAACAAATATTTATAATAAAACGATTCTTATATAAAAGTTTCGTTAGTTATATTTTCTCTATTACCAGAGGACAAAATACAAGGCAAAAGAAAGTCAATAGTAAAAACTGGTTGTATTAAAAAACGAGCAGACAAATAACATATCATAAGAATTACCAATAAAATAAAAGCTAAGAAACTCACCTGGAAAATTGTTGAAATAAACACATTTTAAAGTTACATATGGCGTAATATATTTAGAATCACTGTCATTCCGCAGAGAGACTCGATGGCACAGGCGTCTTAGCTGAGGTCTACGCAGCGAGTAAAGAAAATGCTGAAAATGAGAGGGGGTAGGAGTTTGGCGGACTAACAGTCAAGGAAGAAACGGTTATTCCATAGAGAAAGTTAAAAGCAGATAATCTCAGAATGGCTGACATTGTTTACCTTTATTAAGACTTGATATCTTTTTACTTTATTGTATACACGTACGTATTGTGACACGCCAACTACTAACCCTATTATTATTATTATTATTATTATTATTATTATTATTATTATTATTATTATTATCATCATTATTATTATTACTATTATTATTACACGTCTTTATTCACTTAATGTAATTTATTGGAGTGGCTAGCTCTAATTTTAATCGAAGTTTTTGGGGGCTCACATGCTTGCACATTCTCTAATTATAACTAATTATAATAAAAAATCGAATTATTTGTATTTTTTTTAAATTGTAAACATTATGAAGTATCTACTGCAAAATTAATTTTATTTTGATATTATTTTCGTTTCTTATTTTTGACCAAAAAATCTCCTTATACTTTCTTTAAATTTACCCTATCTTCGATGGCTATCGACCATGTATTTGGAAAATGACTCCTTTCTATTTTAAATTTATCTCTTGTAAATTAAAGCATGCCTTGGCCTTGCTTGTTTATAACGTCCTTTAACTGATCTATACTTTCCTTTACGAAGATATTACGGCGCACTTGGCGTTGTGACGAGTTCAGCGACTATTCCATATTTTCACTCTGGAGCTCTTCACGTTGCCACACTGTATTTTTTCTGTTCATATTGCAGCTATTCAAGATCTAATTCTCTCCCGAATATTATTCTGTTCTCATTAATCTGTTTTTAACATAGCTTGTGGTCCTATTCTCTACTAATCGTGAACACATGTCCATTTTTTACTTCTCACCATCTCAAAATATTTTTACATAATGCTCTGACGGTCGTATCTCCCCCATCTTAGTTCTGACCCAAAGAAAAAGTGTTCCTTTTCACCTAGAATCTGCGCTAAAACTCACTTTTTGTATTGTTGCTACATTAATTCGATGCGCTTTTGTCGCCCCCGCAACCATGCATTTAACCCCCTCTGGTCATGTCAACAATGTCTTGTTATTTTAGTATACTTTGTTTCCCAAACAATTTTATAAATTGTCCAAAATTGATTTAACCAATAGTTCATTCTCTTCCTGTGCCATGCATCCCCGATGTCTAATTTTAATTTCCATCTCGACGTAATTCTTCATATTTTGTGTTATATTGCGTTTATGCTATTGATTTTAGAATACAAAAATCTCGTAAAGCATTTTGCGTTATCTCAGTATATACAGAGTAATATACGTAGTATAGAAGAAGTTATGTAATGCTTCGCGAAAAAACGGCAGCTTTTAGCCAGAAAAAAATCATTGCCAGGTCCTAATAACAAAAAAGGGGAGTAATCCAGTTGCTGAGAAATTCTCCAACACGTGGTGTAGCAGGAAACTCTGTTTTGTGGGTCCTTGATACCGAAAAATCAATTGACGTCAAAATGCTCATCCGTCTGTCCGCCTGTTCGTCTGTTCATCTGTCCGTCCGTCCACTCGTCCGTCTGTTCGTCCATTTGCATAATAGCGTCTAAACCATACGTAAGATTTTTTCCAAATTGAAGAAACTCCTGGACATCTGGCTCGAGTTGAAGCTTCGAGATTTTGAAAAACTTTCTTTAAAATTTGAGGGTACTTTGCATGAAGTCCCTGGAACATTTTCAAAATTTCTCAATAACTTTTTTCTTTAAATTTCTTGTAATAGTAGAGTAAAATACACTTATAAAGATGGCGTAGGACAGATTTTCACAGTTAACTCTTAAGTTTTCGATAATTGAAAGTAACATTTTTTTGGGGCCATCCTACAACTCAGGATTGAAGATATATTTCCTTTAAATGCAATTCGTTCTCTATAATTAGTTTTTTCATGAAGGTCCTGCACTTTTTTTTTGAAAATTTTGGTTGTTTTCGCGCTGTATTGCGTGCAACATGTGCAATATTTAAAAAAATAATAAAATCAATATTTTCTCAAAAACTGCTCCAAATTTTTTCTTTAAACTTTTGGTAGGGATAGTGCTACATGTGTTCTATGACATGGCATAAACGCTAACGTTCTCTTTTCTTTTCTTTTTTTCAAAAATTACAAAAATGTAATTGTTTGACTAGACTTTTGCGTCGTTAATATTTATATTACAGGCAATTAGTTCTCATTATTGCATTTACGAGGTAATGTGCTTTAAATGATTTCTTATAAAATGTCTCGAAAACTCAAAAGTCTTCTGTGAAAATGAGCTCAAAATTTCTCATTTTTAGAAACATCCAAACGACATTTTCTCAAAAACCACCGTAGAAACCACCACACAATAAAAGAAAGCACTAGCAGAGTAAAAAAACATGTTTTTAGTATTACTAGTCCAATAGATGCGCTGTCATTTCCGCTACAATAAACAAGTTTTTGTTATGTACGAGCGGAAGTACCCCGCGTTGCCCGGGCGTTGATTTAATTAAAACATGTGTCTATTAGTGAGGAAAAAGGAATACATTTTAACAACAGCGCCGAACTGCTCAAAGCCACCCTGCTCCTCCCAACATCCTTGTCCCGCCCTGCTCTGTCTGGGCCTCAGCTCCTGTCCGCCTCATTTGTGCTGTGATCACCACTGCTATTGTTGCTACGGGCAGCAATAAGCTGTTTAAGTCCATTCAAACGTCTTTTCTGTCAACAGATGGCTTGTTGCGCTGTTCTGGCACACACCCAGTAACAAAGTTGGACTTGCAATTACTACTCAAAAGCCTTTAGCTTTAATGAATTAATAACTACTTAGCATGAAATTTTATTATCTTTATAAAACATTTAATGCGCATTGATGGAATTCCACACACTTTTCTAACTATTCCCCCAAACAACAGAATTCACAGTAAAAATTTAATACACACAGAAGGGGAATAGGATTAGAATTCGAAATCTCATATGGACGGTAACCTTTCTCTTATTTTAAGTGTCATGTATATCAAATGTCATTATGATCAGAATAAAACTGTAGATTTGTATTGAAAAAGAAACAGAAACATTCTTTTTTTGTAAAAGAAAACATAATAATTAAAAAAAGTAACCAAAGTTGTGCCTGACAAAGTACTCCACTTTTCAGTAAAAACCACATCGAAATTTGTCGAGTGGTTCCAGAGATCACACAGCTTAGAGAGACAAAATGTGAGGAGTTCCATTGCGGCAGCCGACCGAGACACATCGTGCTCCGATCGCGTGCAGTGAAACAGTTATTATCACATAACCATTTATTTGTGAACTTAATAACGTTTACTTACGGGTAATCCTTGTCCCACGAGTGTGAGTGTCCTGAAATCAACTGTATGGTCAGCCGGTGCAGCGGCTAACCTGCAAGGATGGAGCCTCCGGACATCAGGGCTCCTATAACCTCAACACCGTCACCTACAGGTATCTACTCATTCAAAAATATAACACTTACGCACATGTCCATGTCAACTGACAGTGTTCCCACCCAAGGCATCAGGCCCATACTTTATCGACTCGCAAAAGGTCCTTCACTAATTCAATAGATTACATAAACGATAATATCCGATATTCACTTGACGCCAGTGGAAATAAGGTTCATAATCAAGAAATTGCTAATAACAGAGTGTGTATCTTTCTAAGTTCTCAAAACTAAAAGCCGACAGCACTTACGAACAAACCATAAAGTTATTAAAATAAAAAACTATGAACTGAAGTTGAGACCAGCTTGTAACAAAGGCCAATAAGAATTATTTATATCTAACGTTGTCCCATAATCCCACATTCAGTTAAATAGAAAATGTACTACCACAAAGAAATCAAATTGGCATCTAAAATTTCATTTGGAAAAGCTGGTATCCAGACAGGGTATTCTCCCATATTTATGAGTTTTCCCGTAGACAAGTGTATATTGCCCCTGAAAATTCTGAGACTACTAAACCAATTCTACTACTGTGGCATTATGATGGCTTCACATTATAGGATATTTTTTACAACTGATGAAATGTCTTGCTTAACTGTCACCAAACAGGGCAACTTGGCTGGACAATCCCTTACACATAACACCTCTAATCAAACACAAAGACTACAACTTAGGCAGTGCTCCATGGAAGCTGAACAATTCAGGGAAAAAGCCTTGACATACCAGATCCTGCCATCAATGGAGAAAACACTGGAGCTGTAGATATTCAAAGTCACAATGATCTTACTAAAGAAATACCCACAACTGGTCCCTCACTACCTTCTAAATCTGTATTTCCTACTAATGAAGCTAAAAAACAATGTAAGAAATCCAACTAAGACAACATAGCTTCCCTTTATATATAATAATAATAATAAAAAATGGCCTCCAGACTGACTCCTCCTTACCCTCCACTGTAAGCACACAGAAACAAAGAATATGGAAGAAGTCTCAAAACAACCAAAAGAAAAAAAAGAAGTAAAGAGAAGAAATGGAAGAGTTGATTACTCCTATCAAACACATTTCATTGAACACACGTCAAAATAACTTCCCCTTACTTACATTCAGTTTAAATCCTTATTTAGAGAACTCTTCAGTGCTAATGATTCCCATATTATAGCTCTGATTACTCACAGGACATATCAATCCATCACCCAAAATGATGCATAATTATGTAACTTCCTCATCTCACCAACAAACCATAAAAAGGCAGATTCACCAGAATTATCAAGAAATCAACTCAGTAATTAATACTGCAGATGAATCAAGTACTGAAACAGATTCCAGTATAGAAATCAACACCAGTTAATGTAATCACCCCATAGAAATTTAAACCATGCTGACACATCTGAAAGTTGAGTATAATATAAAGAAGAGTAATGATAAGTCCTGCAATGAATTTAAATGGCTTTTATAGCAGGCTAGAAAACTTACAATATTTGTGCAAATTACAAGCCTGATATAATATGTGTACAAGAAACAAACTTTAAAGGAAAATCACATGGGAAAAATAACTGATATACTTGTACTTTA